CATACACACACACACACACACACACACAGGGTTTGATCAAAAACTATTCGGATTGTTGATATGGTAACAAAATTAAAGCATGCAAAGTAAAGCCACTTGGCACAGAATGCCTTTGAATTGTGTCACGCATACACACTATGCTATAATGTTCTGTAAAGTGTGGTTGTCTCACTACACACGGGTTCTATCATCAACCATGGTAGAGAAAATTGAGCAGAGAATCTGCTTCAAATTTTGCCAAAAGCTTTGTGATATCTGCACAGACTCTCCCACAATGTTGCAGAAAGTGTATGGATAGGAGTGTATGAGTCTGACATGAGTGTACAAGTGGTTCAGAGGTTTCCAAGATAGTAGACAAAATGTCTACAGTATTCACATTCTGGGAAAACCCGTAATCAGCAGAACAGATGAAAACATTGCAGATGTGTATCCAGTTGTTAGAAAGACTGTCAAATCACTGTGCCTGGAGGATGTGGACATTAGTTCAGTTTCGGTTCAGTTCAGTCCATTCTCACTGAAAATTTGGGCATGAGATATGTGTCTTTCAAGTTTGCACCAAAACTGCTTTCAGTTGACTAAAAGAAAAACTGGTTTTGACTGTGCAAGTTCCCCTTAATTGTGTCAAGGAAGACAAAAGCTTTTTGAAAATGGCCATAACTGGTGATAAATTGTGGGCCTATGGCTATGACACCTAAACCAAAGCACAGTCTTTGCAGTGGATGACCCCATCCTCTCTGAGACTGAGTACTACCATGGTGTATTGTGGCATTTGCAGAATGCTGTTTGTTGGAAAAGGACAGAATTGCATGCATCCAGTGAGTGACAATTCCACCATGACAACCCACCTGCCCATTCAGTGCAACTTGTCCAGTAGTTTTTGGCAAAGGACAACATTCCACAGGTCCAACAACCACTATATTCCTCAGATCTTTCCAATTTACGACATTTTCCTCTTCCCAAAAATCAAACCTCACTTGAAAAGAACAACATTCCAAGACATTGAGAAAATCCAAGAGAATATGACACGGCAGCTACTTGCTATCCCAAAAAAGGTGTTTCAGCAATACTTTCCTCAATGGAAACAATGCTGAATAAAGTGTGGAGGACTACTTTGAAGGAGATTAAATACTGAATTGATGTGTGTTATAGTTTTCTTTTTATAGCAACTAGTCTTGATGTCTCTTGATCAGACCTTGTATGCTTTACTTATTACTTTATAGTAGATATTATTTCTTTGTTAGAGTAGGCATTATTCCTCTAAAATGTTTACTTATTCAGTTCTTTCTTTTACACTTTTTTTCAACAGTTATTACTTTCCCCTAATGCTTGTGATATTTTATGAATTTGCATGTTTGAACCAGATGTTTGGTCCTTGTTACAGGAGAGCAAGCAACAACAAGTTTCCTCAAATTTTTATCTTCAGTAACTTTTCAGACCCCAACACTACCATGGCCTGAAGAGTCTCACCCATTTCACTGAATTTCTATTTTCTCTAATCTCATCATTAGTATTGTGACATGGTGCCAAAAAAGCAAAATGTTAAGCATTTGTTATAAAACTTTTGCAGTTCCTATCCCCAATCTTCGTGTTGTGGTCTCCTGACACTACCCACAGCCACATCTTTGGCCAGTTTGGATCTCAAAGCTTCAGAAGATTTTACTTTCTAAGACTGTCTTTGGTTTGTGCTGATATTATTTGTTTACATAGCTTAACCCAAATGTGCACACACAAACACACATTGTCATTTTCATTTTTATCATAATCATTTTCATCTTTGTCATCTTCTTCAGCTTTGTCTGCATTTTCATTTTTATTTTCTTCACCTTTGTTTTTAGTATTTTCATCATTTTTACCTTTTTCATCATCACTTTGTTATTAGTTCACTTGTTTTTTGTTTTTTTTTGTTTTTTCTCACTTTCAGTTTACTTAATATTTAAAAAGCAAAATGTTGAGGGAGCTTCCTAACATATTGACCATAGTGCACACTGAGGAGTAAAAAGTATTTACTCAAGACCTGTAATATTGCCCCTGTCTTAGACTTCAACCAGGCATGTGAAAGACAGTCACACCTTTCATTCTCTCTCCCTACCCCAGTAGTAAATTTTTGCTACAGTCTGACTATATTTCCATTTTATATCTTAGTACTCAACATAAAGAATCCCAATTTTGTAACATAGTGGACTTATTTATTCAAGAAACAAGGGATTGACATCATTGTTTTCATATTGAGGTGGCTGAGAGTGTGGGGTGGGTATTCTGCTCTTTTGTATTATTGCTTGATTGTTTTTGTAGCTCTTTTGACTTATAGAAATCCTTAAATGAAATAGGCTGTGTGTTCATGTTCTAAGAATTTGCAGCAGCATTGAATGAAACAGTTTTGCTTTGGTTATTAGATTTAGAAAATAACCTATTGTTATACAAATGTCTTTGAAGTTTTTTTTTTATGTCAAGTACAAGAGAGAAAATGGATGATTACCTTTTGGTGATTAATTTTATTTGATGGCAAAACCTCATTTTAGCATTTTACAATACATGATTAAAGTGATTTGCCTAATTATGTGTGTATGTAATATATCTTATGTGCCATGTGCCTTCAGGACGTGGACCATCATAGCTTTCTACAATATCCAGTCTCTTGTTACATTAGGAAACCTCTGACTCTTTACCATCCCTCTTTGTTTTGATTGCTCTCCATTTACCAAATATATTAGGTAAGTTATTTGATGTTTCTCTCTGTTCCTTCTTTCAATATGTCCTATGAATGTTAAAGTCACCAAACCCTCTCTTCTCATAATGCATCCCAGAAACTTTAGCTGTCTCTTTACAAGTTTAAGTGTCCTTTTAGTTTCCATTTTCCTTAAAACTTCCTCGTTGCTAACATATTCTGTCCATCATATTCTCAGCAAGAACTAAATCTGTCAATTCGAGTCTCTTTATCAGGGCCAGAGGTTTGATAAATCTGAATTTATCAGTCTCCTATTTATACACTTTCTGAAGGAACAATGCTTAAAATGATATTTAGAAATGTATCATAATGACAAAATATATATCACTTAACTTAGGTACCTTCATGAGATCGCTAAAAACAGAGCATAGCATGATTGAAAAAGACTCCAAACTTAATGAAAACAAAATTTTAACATCTAAATGTTTGTTATTATCAAGAGGAAAGATCAAAGTATTTCTTAATTATTTTTTAAAAAAATTTTCTTTTTAGAACATTCTAAATTTTGATTAAAAAAAAAAAAAACCCAGTTTCTCTTTGTATTACTGGAACTAGTAAAATAACATAAAATTTTAGCACGTTTTTTCTGTATAACAGGCATTAATTTTGAAAATCTTGCAAAAATAAAAATAATTGTTGGATTTTAGAAACTATTCACAAATGATGGAACTTATGTTTCCTTTTTTAAAGTCATGGCAAAAATTTTTTTTTTTTTTTTTTATATGTTCTACCCCCCCAACTAATTGTAACAAAACTCTATAATTTCAAATTGGGGAAGATTAGTGATTATATTAGTTAAAAGCACAAGGCTTTGAAGAAACCAAACCATGTTTTTTTAGTTGGACCACCTCTACCTGAAAATCATCTCTGAATTGTAAATACAAAAAACTCAATAAAACAAAAATATTATTTAATTTCAAAAGCTTTTAATTGCTTTTATTTATTTTAATGAATAAACTCAGATTTTCATTTTTTTTTTATAAATTGGAATAAAATGGCTGACATGATCGATTATCTGTCAATTTTGCTGATTAAAAAAAAAAACAAGATTTTTAACGAAAATTTTAGACGTGCTAGGAACGATTAAAAATGTAAAAAAAATACCCCAAAAATACTTTGATCTTTCCTCTTAATAATAACATAAACATTTAGATGATAAATTTTTGTTTTCAAGTTTGGAGTCTTTTTTTTTATGCTATACTCTTTTTAGCGATCTCATGAAGGTACCTAACTTAACTGAAAAAAAAAAAAAAATGGAATATATTTCTATGAATTTTTATCAACATTACAATATAAATAAATATTAATATGTGATGGGGTGTCTAATAAGCTCTAGAAGGGGAGATATTAAAAAATTAACAAGGATCAAAGGAATATTTATTTGATACCTGAGAGTATCTAATTTTGATAATTGTTTGTATAACAATGATATTTGGGTGAATGCAATAAATTATTATAAGTCACATCTTTCAGAAACTCACTTTTAAATTTCTCAAAATGTTGCCAGTTTTTTATTTTATTTTTTGATTTTTATCTAATATATATAATTGTCATATTGCATTTAATAAAGACTAAAAAAAAAAAAACTTTTCAGACCAGTTTAAAACAAAAAAAAATCTCATGATTTCTCTCTAGTTGTAAAAACTGATGTTTGCTACCATAAAAACAAGTATCTGTACCTACTCTGTGAAAGCAATACTGAAAGAAGTGTAGAATTTAATGAAATTCCACTTGATGTCAAGTATATCAAAGATGTAACAGTGTTGGGGAGATACTATGAAATTATCAAACAAAAACTACCTCTTTTTTTTTTTTTCCATTTTTTTTTAATTTGGAAAAATCATGTCTCATGTGCCTAACTTGATATGCAAATCCTTTTGCCACTGAAATGTTCTTGTGTTAATATTTTTAATAATTGTTTTTTGTCATGCATGAATAATGGTGGAAATTGGCTTAGATCCTGCATCAGGTCAAGGTTAATGAAGAAATTTAGGATTACAGAATTGATCTTTTTCTTTCCATTCACTTAACATTGTATGCTTGCATTATATCCAGTTTATTGAAATACAGTCCTCATAATTCACAAAAGTATTTACCTTTTCTTATCTATATATCACTGGTTTTGATTATATTCTCAAGATAACTTTTTCTTTTGTAATGAAGCAGCAAAAATATTTTATCTGCTTTCAATGTCTGTATAATCTAATTTTTGTATGGCTCTATTTTGACTTGCTGATAATTATAACCATCAGCTATTGTTAGGCTAACAGTTACATCAGGTTGAAACACTGGTTTCCACATGATCACTGAAGTTAAGCAACATTGTGCCTGGTCTGAACCTAGATGGGTGACCACTTTGGAATACCAGATGCTATAAGCTAGGTATAATGTATAATGGCTCAGAATCAGAGAGCCAATTCCTGTTCAGTTCATTATATTCACTATAAAAGGTATGAATCCATTTCTTTTCCCATCCCAGCTATGAGTTAATTAGTAAGACTTGTATCACTAAACAATTCTCCCACCCCCCAATTCTTACAAACTAAAAACTTAACCTGCAAAAGGTCGATAAACCATAAAAATGAATCAATCCAGCTATTGCCATTCTATGGCTAGACAAAGGTCTTTCCCAAATCCTTCTATGACTACTGTAATTATGCTATTCTCTGCTTTGTCGTATTAGTAAACCCCTCTATTACATCTCTCCATTTTCTAACAGGATTTTCCCTATTGGGTACCAATCAAGTAATCTTTTTACTCCATCTGTTAGATTTGCTTTTTGCTACATGTCCTACCCACTTCTATGTCATCTTTTATCTGTGTTTATTCTCTCATCCATATTAATCTCTTATTTTTGCATTGCTTTTTCCATTGATGCTTGTATATCTTTACTGTTTTGCACATGTATGGCGTAGCTGGCATTAAGTATTCATTATGTGCTTTACTTTTGAAGTATATTGGCAAAGTGCTTTTCATTACATCTCCATAAGCTTATGCCCACATCACATTGAAATACCAGTTCCCGTATGATCGCCATTATTAACCAATGTCATGCCTGATCAGTACCTTGATGAGTGACCAATTCAGAATACCGGGTGCTATAAGCTTGGATGTGTGGGTGGTGTAATGGATAATGGCTCGGAATTGTTAATTAGAGAGCCAAGTTCCAGCTGGGTTTGTTATATTCACTTAACATGCAAATACCCTTGTAAAAGGTATTGATCCATCTCTTTTCACCTCCAGTTATGAGTTAATTAATAAAACTTGTATCACTAAATCATTATCCACCCCCAAAATTCTTACAATCTATTTTTGGGCTTTAAATAACCTGCAATAGGTTGATAAGCTGTAGAAAACAAATCAGTCAATCAATCATTACATATCCATCCATCTATCTATCTATCTATATATATATATATATATATATATATATATATATATATATATTCTGTGACTTAGTCCATCCATCTGTCCGTCTAAAATAGCCACCGATTGACCAATCGAGACAAAATTTTGGAGAGAATTGCTAATTAGTAAAGAGGCACAAAGTACAGTTGCTTTTACTAGGATGTGTAGCTTTGTACAATAAATTTTCATTAATTTTGTTAGGAAAAATTAAAAGTTTTATTAATTTAACATACAAAAAACTCACTATTTTTAAGAAAATTATTAAAATAACAAATACTTATTTAATAAAGATGCAATATTGTTATTTCCATATCTTTTCTCTAAGTTTTTATATTTCATTGATTAGTTTGCAAAATTGAACAAAACGTAGAGTTTGTAATTCTCAAGAAAAAATGTTTGATAACTTCAACAACACTAAATACTGTGAGAATTTCAGCATACATCAGCAAGTTGCAAAAAAGTTCTAGTTTTTTAAAATGCTTTTCACCCTATCATTATGTATCTTATATCATTTCCATAGACTTTCTTTAAAGTTATCACTTGTCCTAAGTATATGAAATCTTGGACAGTTTCTCTAGTTCAACATTTATTTTTATTATCTCTTTTGGAACAATTGAATGTTATTCTTTTATTTCTGTTCATTTTGAAATCAACATTGAAATTTTCCCTATTGAGATTATTTAGCATTTGTTGTAATTCATTCAATGTTTCTGATGTTAGGAAAATGATGTCAGTAAATCCAAGTTGGTGTCAATATTATCCTTTGATATTTATTTCTATTGTTTCACACTTCATTTTCTCAAAGATACTATCAAAGCTTGTTGTAAATAGTTTACACTAAATCATTTCCCCTTGCTTTACTTCTTTTCCAGTTTTTTTATTTTGTCTGTATCTTTGTTCAATAAAATTATTATCATATATATCATTAAATTTTATAATTTTTGTTAATGCCCTTCTCTCAGAACAAGTTAAAGACTGCCATATGTTCTGGTTCAAATGCCTTTACAAAGTTGAGTATAGCCAAATAAATTGGTTTGTTCTCTTTTTTTTGATCAGTTGATCAATGGCTATTCAACAATAAACCATCTAGAAGTGAGTTGAGTAACTATTCCTAAAACCTGCCTGTGTGCATGGCTGGTTTTCATCTAAGCTTTTTTTTTTTTTGTCAAACTTTTTATGAATAATTTTTATCTGTTCTACAGTAATGTGATAGGGTAACAGATGTCAATATCTTTATTTTATCCTTTTTTATAAAATAGGCTTACTGTTTGCAGACTGAACTTCTAAGGTACTTTTATGTATGCATTGGGTAAATAGTTCTATTAATCCTTTGTGGAATTCTTATTCTGAATCTTTCATAAGATCTGTTAATCTGCCTGGTGCTTTATCACATTTCAAATTTTTGAGGTGCAGACCTTATTTCATATCTTGTTACCTGTGGAATATCCCTAGTATCTGCTGTAGTGACTGTTAATGGTATTTTTTATTTTCCAAGTATACATGTTTGTATGCTGTTATTCTTGTCTCTCCATTTGGTAACTTTCCCATTTCTGGCTTTCAGTTGCTGTTTATATGTGTGGGCTGTGGATTTCAAATTCTTCTCTTCTTATACTCTTTCTAAGTTCAGCTTCCATTCTTTGTCCCTCACTTTTGTTGATTAGTTTAATTCTGATTTTTCACTATTATCTCTCTTAGTATTTTCAATTATATTTCTCCTTTTTTTCCTGTTCAGTGCTAGTATTGACTTTGAATATTTTACTTTGTTATTACTATTTCCATTTTGTTTTTCAGTTAATCTTTGCCGCTTTCTTAATTTGCTGTTTCTATTTTCTGTTATTTTCATTAATCCACAACACCTTGAAATTCTGTGACATTCTCTCTTCTTATTACAATATGTTTCCTTTCTTAGAATCATTTTGTTTTCTCTCAATAATTTTCAAGTTAGTTTGTAGAGTTAAAGTTATCATTCTATTGATAATCATAAGCTATTGCTAGTTCATCATTGAACAAAGATTGTTTCCAAATCCTTTCATAACTCTGTTATTGTCGTCTTTCATGTTTTACTAACAAACCCCTATTGCATATCTCTCAAGTCTTTTCATACACAGTAGATCTCAGTGTTGTTAATATTAAATATTTTAACTCTGGTCCCACTCCATTTCTCCTCTTGCCACATCTGTGTACCAAAAGAAACCTTAAACATAGATAATCCATATATAAAGTTACTGAACTCCAGATAGAATTTCATTAAAGTTTATTTTTATGCATTTTTTAATTAAATTTATAATAAGATTTAATGCATTTTTTTCAATGTATTGAATAAATCCTCAACTTTTGAACAGTAGCTTAGAATTTAATTATTTGGTACATTGTATTTTCTAAATTTAAATATATAAAATTTAAATAAATTAAAGAAGAATTTTGCTAAAAGTGTATGTTTATAATTTTCTTTTTGTATTATTTTAAGTATAAACTAGATATATTGCAATTTTCTGTATTGTCTAAATGATATACAAGCAGATGATAATTTTAGTTATGGAGTTGTTGCTTCATATCAGCAGACTGTTGCATTAGGAGTTGTCATCTGATTGAGAAGCGAGAACTGTTTAAATTTATGTTTATGTAAACTCGTGTGTACTGATTCTTCTTCCTGAGGATGACTGCTTGTTGAAAGATTAAGGATAAAACAAAACAATATTTTATTCCAAGTTCATACATAACCTATTCAAATCTTATTCATGAGATAAGATTCTCTATGATAACAAGTTAATATTTAATTTGCTAAAGATGTTTAACTCTTAAAAGTATTTTTTTTTTTTTTTTTTTTTAGTCTGCATCTTCATGGAAAACACTGTTAGTCATCTGTTTATTCTGCTGATGTCTGATAAACTCAAGTTTCATGGGATTAAACATATCAAGATATGCATATGCATTTAAGAATTTTCTTTCTGCAAATCTTCTACTTGATATAACTTTCTTAGAGCTTGAAGACTGTCTACTGTCCATGTCTACAGGAAGCATATATAAGTCACATATTCATTGAGTAACATGTTAGATTCATTTACAAGATTGATCTGGGTTTTTATATCTATCAAATTTGAGTTATTTAAAGCTGAAATATATTTGGGATTGTGATAACTTTTGAGAGTGAATACTGCATTAACAGTTTCAGGTTTTTGTTGTTTTAAGAATAACAACAATTTAACCCGTAGTTGGTAGAACGGTATGGTATCATAGCTTTCCCTAGGATATTTGTACCTAAATGAATTCACTTACAAAATTATCAAACTCTTTGGGTTTGTAGTTTGACATTAACCTTTGCATTTGTTTAAGTGTTTCAAGAGTAAATGAAAGAAGTTTTATGTCTAATTACAAGCCTATAAGATGTGTGGTTTATGAGAATAGTTGTAGGAACTACTGTTCATTGCAATGCATCCAAGTGATATAGCTGTCCACTTAATGTTCCATTTGAAAGCCACCTAATCATAACACCAGCACAGTTTTTTTTTTTTTTTTTTTTTTTTAATGTATGTCTCATATACCAGCAATTGCTGTGTGTACTTATGAATACAAGGAGAGGGTGAAAAATTCTTGGCCTGCCTCAGAAGTAATTCTTTAAAAATTTTGATGTTTTTATAGTGAGTCAGACCAAGAATTTTTAAGCACTAATAATTATTTATTATTAAATGTTCTATATTTATCAAATGTCAACACAGTGTTTCATAATATTTGAATCACTCATTAGGATCTTTGACAAGAATGACTGCATTAATCCATATATATATGAGAGAGAGAAAGAGAGAAAAAGATAAGGTGTATTCAGTTAGAAGTTCTTCTATATGGCGTTTCCCTTCAGGATGTAGATCATGGCTTTCCATAATTTCCTGTCTTTTTGGAGCTATTAATAGTTCATCTCTTTACTATCTCCCCTAATACCAGTTCTACCAACCATTTACACTAGCCTTTT